TGGACTAAACACCTGTTCCACTGCTAATGTTCCCATCAGCATCATCAGCTGTACTTTTTCAGTTTAACACTAATTAGCAAATGTTAGCGTGCTAACAAACTAAACTAAGACAGTAAACATGGTAAACATTATACCTGCTAAGTAGCATGTTAGCATTGTCATTGTAAGCATGTTAGCATGGTGACGTTAGCACAGCTGTTGACTCTTTTCCACATCTGTTCAGAACTTTTTGGACTCAACCTGAAATTCTAGCCAATAGCTGAAATAAATAGCTAAATTTTATCGGAAGGCAAATGTAGTCAGTCAGTTTTATTTATAAAGTCCAACATCACGTATCACAAATTTGGCTCAAGAGACTTTACAATCTGTACAACAGTATAGTAAAAAAAACACGACTTGAGTTTAAATTAATTTAATTAATTTAATTTATTAACTGGTTTTGATCACCAGGGCTCGTCAGTGAGCTTGTTTCTGATCAAATGTTGACTTCACGGATGTGAGAAATTTATAAAACTGTCAGAAATCAAAAAATAAAAGAACTGACATTCAGAAAGCAAATTGTTTGTGTGAAAAAAAACTTGCTTCTTTGGCTGTGAACATTAAAGTGCAAAAATCACATCACAGTTTATTATTAGTTTAAGGTCGAGTGTGTAGCATTTAGTGGCATCTAGCGGTGTAGTTGCAGATTACAACGCCCTCACCTCACTGTCCCCTTACAGGCGCGTAGGAGAAACTACGGTGGTGATTATAAATGTTACACACTAGACCTTTAAGACACTGAAGTGCTTTGGTGTTGTGTGAGTGTGGAGTGCTTACAAATGAATAACTTTGCAATAACAACAACAAAATATTTTATTTTACAAACAGCTATCAGTGTTAGAGGATCTGTTTCATATTTTATCACAAGAATCAAACTGTAAAAGTAAACAAACTAACCCTAGTTGGGATTAAACAACATTATAAATCCTGAGTTTTGATAATCTGCTTCATAGATTATATGACAATGACAGTGGTGATGATGATGATGAAGGTGATGAAGGTCTAGGTGAACTTCCTGATGAAGCGCAGTTTGAGGTAAGCAATGGTGAGGAAGCAGAAGGTCATGACGCCCAGAGCTACGTGGTTCTGCCAGAAGCCCCAGGTGGAGTAATCGACCCCCTGCTCCTCCAGAAACTCCTCCCCCGTACAACTGGAAACAATACAAAGGTTCCTCAGTAACTATCACAAATAAAACGGATATAATTCATAGATGGAAATAAGAAAATAGTTGTGTATGTAACTAATCAACAAGCTCACTATTAAACTTAAAACATTATTTAAAACTTAAACACATTAACTAGCAGGTTAATGTAACTAACCACTTAACGTGAAAAATGGCAACTTTAAGTAGGTCAGTTACTAACCAACTAATTACTAGGCTCACTAACAGCATCTGATCAACAAACTGACAAACTAAGTTACTAACTTCCTGACTAGCTGACTAGCTAACTTGCTAATATTTTAACTAGCAAGCAAACAACTAATTAAACAACAATTATAATAATAATAATATGATGTAACTAGTTGACAAACTCAACTCTGATTATCAATCAACTGTTTATTACTTTTAAAATTTGTTTTAAACCAAACTGAATAATAACAGGAGACTTCTGGAATGTAGTGTGTGATGTTGTCCAGCATGTGACAAACTGAAACACCTGTTTCTTTCTTTTTAACCAGTTATAACAACTATAAATATATAAATATATAAATGTGTGTATTTGGTTGTGAATGTTTCTTACACAAGTCCAGGTGGGATAATGCTGCTGTTTAACCCCTGACAGAAGTTCAGCCCAGAGAACTCGTTAACCTGCAGAGCCTGGAGAGACAGAAAGATCATCACCATCAAACCACCAACTTCAACAACACATATTTTAATTTACAGAAGTCTATTATATGTTTGTATTTAATCTTACTTTGTGTCCTGAGATTGAAAATAAAAATGTGTTCACTGTTCAGTTAAACAGTTACTTTATTTTCTTTTACATTGACCAACATGATTTATTTTTTTAAATCTTAAAAATCTTCTAACTTAATTTACTGCATTATTGATATTGATTATTGATGGAGTTGTATGATACTTGAAACAGCAACGAGTGTTATGTTGATTCTGGCACCACCCTGTGGACAAAAGTGGTAGTGTTTCCACAGCAGACATTAAGAATAATAAACAGGATTAAATTGAACTAAATGGTTAAATAACCATTTCTATTTTATTCTAACTTTCTTAGCACGTCCATTAGAATCTAAATCAACTACTGTACAGTAAAAAAAACCTAAATGCAAAGAATTATGGGTAAGAGTGTATATTAGTGTATGAAAGGCTAAACTGAATAAAAACAGATCAAATTCAGTGTCTTATTTCGAGTATTTTAAGTTGTATGAACACCACATAGGAACAGAAACAGGAACATAATAAACTACAGGAACTGAATATGTGTGTGTGTGTGTGTGTGTGTCTGTCTGTACGTACAGCGAGGCCATATCGTGGTATACTCAAGTATTTCAACCAAGCAAGCCAGTTGACGATAGAGGGAAGATTCACGAGTAAACCAGCAAAGATCTGCAGAAAAATAGAGAAACAGACGTTTACAGGTAAAATCAGTAGTCAGGTAGTAAGTAGTGGTTAAATGTGTTTGTGCTGTTGTGTGTGTGTGCGTGTGTGTGTGCGTGTGCGTCACCATCATGAAGACGCAGGCGATGGTCATGAAGATGTTGGCGATGGCCACCACCGTCTGGTCAGCAGAGATGGCCAGAGCCATGGAGGTGGCCGTGTAGGCGACCAGAGTCACGGAGAACATGAAGAGGAAGAAGGCCTCAGCCGTCGGCTTCAGACCTGCACGCACACGCACACGCACACGCACACACACACACACAAACAATTAATCTAAAGTTATTATTTGCTAACAGTACAGTTAGAGGAAGTAAAGAAGCACTAACAAAAACGTTACTGCTGAAAAAACCCTCTTTTTAGAGTATAAAAACAACTAAAACTAACTAACTAAACAAACAACTAAACAAAAGAAAACAGAAAGTTGCTTTTCTGTTTTAAAGCAGTAGTTTTTTATTGTGTCACTAACTATAAGTTCAGACACTGATAAAGTTCAATATGTTACTTGAATAATTATTATTTAAAGGTTCTAACACTTTTAAACAATGTGAATTTTGTAAATACTCTAAAACTAAAACTGATCAACAAGAATTAAACACTTTATTTTATTTATTTATTTATATTTATTAGAAATTCAAATCCAAACTTTAAAAATCACTTGAGAATGAACTAAAACTGAAATTGAAACATAAAGTCTTTAAATGTAGTAAATACTTAATTAAGGATATATTGAAAAATTATGAAAAAAACTGCTATTTCTAACATTTTAGGATCTGAAACTGGAGAATTGTTGGTATTTTTGAAGATAAATAACTATTGGTTGATTATTAAAATAGCTACTGATTAATTTTCTGTCGTAAATAAATAAAATATAAACAAAGCTCCCAACATAGCGTGTGTCCTACCCACCGATCATGAAGTACGCCACGCAGCTGAAGACGATGGCGGGGATGGTCCGCAGCGTGATGATGTCAGACAGGATCTTAGACAGGAAGTACACAGACACCCGGTAGTAACCGCTGATATACTCGTGACTGATGAGAGACGGAAAAACACAACAAACATTTAATTAATACAGAAATCAATCAAACTACACTCTGAGAGGTCAGTTCATATGTTTGTGTTTGTTCTCGTCCTGTAGGTTGTTGTATTGTATTGTGTTGAAATAATCAAATAAATATAAAAATAAATCAGTCAAATGTGTGTTTGTTTACTCACATTGTGGGGACTCAGTTCCCATCTGGGGACAAAATTCAGGTCCCCACAAGGTTTAAATTTTCATTTAAATGTATAATTTGTTTCTAACTTTCCAAGATCGATATTATCGATTATCAATTTTATTTCTACCTGCTTTCTTAATTTATTTAACTTTTATTAAACACAATCGTTATAAATCGATTGAATTGTATTTTTAAATTTACACTATTACATTTTTACTCTCATTATCGTCTTCGCTGCACTTCGAACTGAACTAAACTGTATTAAAGGTGTAAATAAAGTTTGACTGATTGATTCATTGGCTGTGTGTTTAATGTCTATGGTGGATATGGTTATAACTTACCTTAGCATAAAGACTGAAAATAGGAAACTATTACATAACTTCCCCAAAACCATAAATTGTTCTTTTATATGTTTATTTTTTCTTGTTTCTGTTTATACAAGTTAAATAAATAAGATAAATGGTGTAAAGAAATCAGCTTTAGAGGCGTATTTTCAAGCTTTGAACAGAACTAAGCCAGCCGTTTCCCTCTGTTTCCAGTCTTTACACTAAGCTAAGTTAAATAATATAATAATAATAAAATAATAAACAAAATAATAAGTAATAAGTTAATAATAATAATAATAATAATAATAAAAAAAAAACAATAATCAATAAATTTAACTACAGTGCAAAAATATGAGCCATATTGATCTTTTCACACTCATTTCTTTAGACTGAAAATAAAATATTAATTAATTATTGTGGGGGGTAAAGTGAGTAAAATGTTTTAGTAAAATTGGTCCAGATGTCCTCACAAGTGTGGGTATTTGTATGTCAAACTCACATGAAGAGTTTCCTCTCTGAGATGAAGAGTTCAGCAGATGACAGCGAGCTGAAACACTGATTCACGACAATGAAGAAGAGCGCACCAAACCTGAAAACAAACAAAACAATCAATACACAGACTGATACATAAAGTATGCAACCTGAATATTGTAACATTATTATTTTTATATTATTTATTTGTTTCATCTATAAAATGTCAGAAAATAGTGAAAAAACGCAGAATTCCAAGTTTCTTAGTTCTGCTTCTACTAATATTAGTTTGACTGCATCTACCAGCCGACTTCTACCAGTTTACTGCTACAACAACAACACTACTGTTACACTGCTATGTTATATCACTGCTACTGATATAAATACTACAACAGATGCTGTTAACTTTAAATAATCCAAAATAAAATACCTGTTCTGCATTCCACTTTGATCCTCCTTGACACCAAAGAAAATGGCTCCAACAACCAGAGCGAGGAACAAGGTCACCGCTACCTAAACACAATAAAAACAATAATACAATTTACACATTTTAGGAAGCATGCCAATTCGCTTTCTGGGGAACATCTGGGGAACATCAATACCGCTGTTGATCTGTCTGTTAAATATATATAATATATTCAAATTACATATTTATATAAAATACATGTTAATTGGTTGATCTTTACAGTTGCTGGTAGGCAGATTTTGTAACATTCAGACAGAGCCAGGCTACCTGTTACCCCGTTTACAGTATTTATGCTAAGCTAAGCTAACGAGTTGGTGGCTGTAGCTTTATATATTTAATAGATAAAGATGAGGATGGTTTTTATTTTCTCATTTAACTCACTGACAAAGTAAATATTTTTTCCCCTAAAAGCTTTATCTCTTTAAAGTTGCAGTTTCTCTTATGGCCACGAGATGCTGCTCAAACTATATTCAAATTGTACAAAAGTTATTTTATTTGTCACAGTCAGAAGACAATTTTGGGACACATTTTCTGGTTTCAGTAATGCATTTAAAACACATTTTACATGTTTGATTTTTGTACATTATTTGTACCAAACACTCGTTCAACACACTCAACTTTACAAACTCCAGATTTTAAAACCTTGTTTTATAAACTGCTACAATCATTACACATCCCTGCCCTGAAATGTAAGTTACACATCAGACTGATGTGAAGTCATTATGAACGTTTTAAGATGGAGACTGAAGCCAGCTTGATATTCCTACCTGAGCGATGGAGGTCTGAGGGTTTAACATGAGGTTGCGGAACGTCCTCTTGAGAACCCATCTGAACTGTGTCAGGAAGCTGGTGTTGTAGGTGACGGTTCTGGAGGGAGCGGTGGTGGTTGTCGGCTTACCCTGAATTATGCTTTCTATTATGAGAGAGGTGAAAAAGGTTATTTTTAATTCATATAACCTGAAACTTTACAGCGAGATGCTTCCTTGAATGTATATATCAGTGTTTCTCAAACGGAGGTATGAGTACATAACTCCTAAAAAAAATAATAATAATAATAATAATAATAATAATAAAAACTAACTTAAGTGTTACTTATTATAAAGACACAAAAAGCAAAGTAATTCTAAACATTTGAAATGAAGCATTTAAGTGTTTTTCTTAATAAATTAACACTGATGGTGTCTCTTTATATTGGGTTTTTTTTTCTCTACCAAAAATATTTCAAAGTGTGTATATAGACATTGTTTGTGCTGTGTTTGTTTTGTTTACCTTGAATAATAATGCATTTTCTACATTTTTATTTTGCTGAAACAGACAGATTCTGAATTCTGTTTTCTATATATGTATTTTGCTTTGTATTATTGTGCAAATAAACGAAACTAAATCTGTTTTCTTTGTGAATATATGTCTTCAAGTTGAATTTAAATATAATTTCTGTCTGCCATCGATAATAGAGACAAAAAACTGTTTTGTTTTGTATGCATTTCCCCAGACTTCCACACTGTACGTTATATAAAGAACTATAAGGTTACACGTTAAAGGTATATAATGAGACTATAATGAGTTAGTCTCAATTTTTTTTAAAATTTTTGCTCTGATGTAATTTACACCTTGAAATGTTATTTCATCTTCATTTATTATGAGTTTATTTTGTGTTGAATGACTCCCAAAAACAATTAATTTAATCTCACCAAACTTCAGTCACAGTTTCGAAAAGTTCTTTTAAAATTATTACCAGAACAAAATAGTATCATCGGCAAATAAAATGCATGAATATTTCTAATCATTCTGTTGGAAACACACAAACATCAACCAAAAGACTAAACATTTGCAGTTTTTCTCAAAAAGGACTGACGGTCAGTTTGATGAAGCAGATTTTGGAGTTTAGACACTCAAATACAGATAACGAGATCGACCCTGTGACCTTTTTGTTACCTACCAAGCTCTGCTTTGGTCTGTTTGTAGTAGTGGCAGTTTCTGTATTCTTCTACGAGTTTGTCCTCAATCCCCTGTCTGGATAACGACACAGAGTCTGAATCTGGGTCTGGAGGGAAGAGAGACATTGAGGATCGTTCCGTTTCAAATCGATATGGTCCCTGTTGGATTAAAATCTGACCCAAACATTCACACCTTCGCTGTCCAAGCTGTTGAGGGCAACCGCAGTTGAGTCTCCGTTAATGATGTCCAGGAAGAAGTCAGCGGGGTTGTTGTGGGGCTCACAGGTGTATCCTGGGAAAATTTAATTGCACACTGATTGACAATCATCACCTTTGCATCAGGTTGTGTTATAATATTGGATTCAAGTAAATGTTGTGTTCCTACCAATGTCTGAGAAATACTCCAGAGCTCTCGGTGCCGGACCATGGTAAACCTGATCATTTTAGTTATAGTTAGTTTAGTTCTATATTAATAAAGTCCATACACAACATTAAATATAACCCCAGCAGATAGACTTAAAAAGTTAACAAAAGAAAGAACAACAGGAGAGTTACAGAAAAGACAGAAAGACAGCAAGAATAAGAAAAGAAAGCACAACAAAAAAATTGTACTGACCAAAAATGGTGATGAAGTGCAACAAAAAAGAAGTGTGACTATAAAGAATAATAGAGCAACAAAAAGGGCAACAAAAGAAAGAGGGACAAAAACAAAAAAAAATAGACAAGAGTTATAAAAGGAGTAAAAAAAAAAATCGTGACAAAAATGAAAAAAACATTTAAAGACAAAGAAGAAACAGCTACAAAAAACAGAAAAAGAATCGAGAAAGAAAAATTAGAAATAAAGGAAAAGATTGAACGAAAGGTAGAAAGTAAAGAAATAAAGAAGAAATAAAGGAAAGATGTAAACATTAAGCAGGTTGTGATGAGCGACCTGTTTGCCGTTGACCAGCAGCGTGAGGCTGTCGAACAGGCGGTAGATGGAGTATCGAGGCTGGTGGATGGACAGGATGATGGTACGACCGTTGTTTGCCATCCTGAAGAAACAAAAAACAAACGTGGATTCAACTTAAAGGCGACATTCAGGGACAAACACAGTTTGAACAGAAACATCTGACAACAGTTGAACTTCCTGCATCAGCAGCTAAAGTTTAAACAACATTAAATCTCGTCATGTCTGAGTCCATGTTAGATTAATCCATCAAATACAGCAACAGCAGCCGAGGTTCATGGGTATTGTAGTATTTAGAGAAAAAAAACATTATTTCTCAGAAACAAAGCTGAAATCATTAAAACTAATACTCATATCAACTTATAGGTTTGATATATTATCCTGGACCCTCGTAGGCAATTTTAGGCAATTCAGCTTTATGTAGGCAAGAAAAGCAACAGTAACTAATTTAAAAAAAAACAATATAATACCAATTAAGAGTAATAATTAAATTATTAAGCCACCAGAATAATGTGAAAAAAATAAAATAAAATCTAAAAATAATCTACATTTCTGTCAGGTTAACAAATTAAAGAATATATTAATGCTATTTTAACACTTTCTGGGTTACTCAACCAAAATGTCTGATTTCAGTGTTAAACTGTATGTATGTGGTAACAGTTGCCACAAGATGGCAGAAGCTACATTTGAAGAACCTTAATGAAAACATCACAAAACAAGTGACTGAATGTTCCAGAACAACGTCCTGTAAATGTTTCACAATAAAAGCCTTGTTACAAAATGAACTGATTCTGTCTATTGAAAAACCTGGAGGGCTTTTTATTTGAAATTAATACAGGAAGTGTTGAGCGTGTGTGTACCTCTTGAGCAGCAGCAGCACTGAGTTGGCGGTGCTGGCGTCGAGGCCTGTGGTGGGTTCGTCCAGGAAGAGGACGGACGGGTCGATGATCAGCTCCATGCCAATGTTCGTCCTCTTCCTCTCACCACCGGAGATCCCACGAATCAGCTGAGTGCCCACCTGAACACACACACAGATTTCTTTCTCCTTACTCTCTCTTTCCCCCTCTTTCTTGTCACTCCCCTCTTTTCTTTGCTGTGAAGCTTTTTCATCCCTCCCTCTGTCTTCCTCCCTTCCTCCTCACCTTGGAGTCGGCCACCCGGCCCAGTCCCAGCTCCTGGATCAGCTTGTTGACTTTCTGGTCTTTCTCCTCCTGAGCGATGGACGTCGGCAGACGCAGCGCCGCAGAGAAGCTGAAGTTCTCTCTGACCGTCAGAGTTCCCATCACCACGTCGTCCTGCAGAAGAGAAACCGTCGTTAAAACACTAAAACACCAAAACAGCTGCAAACTTAAACAAAAAAAAAAAAAACTAATAACATTTAAAAAAAGACATAAAAAATAAAATAACGTTTAAAAAGCAAAAAAGATAAAATAGCGTAAAAAACACGAAAACTAAATTTGAATAATTAAAAAACAAAAAAAACAAACTTAGAATAACATTTAAAAAAAAGCACAAAAAAAATATTAAAATAATGTAAAAAACACAAAAACAAACTTATTGGAGCAGAAACCATCATTAACCAGCTGCTTTTGAGGTATTTCTAACAGTTCAATGTGACTGAAACTTGGCGTAAGAAGCCGCTCTTATTGTTGCGTTCACTCCTTTCCTGGAGAAATCAAAGCCCTTCTTATTGGCTCCTGTCGCGGAGTCATTGGCGTCTAAGCTCTGACTTCCTGTCTGTCTCACCCATCTGTCTCACCCACCTGCACCACATATCCAGACAGACACTTGAAGTTCGCGGGCTGAGGAGCTCCATCAATCAGAACCTCCCCCGACAGGCCCGTCGGGTCCTTCCTGGCAGCCAGAACATCCAAGAACCTGAGCGACAAACACCCCTAATGATAATTAACACTGAGAATTAAACAACTTTATGTATTCGTCAGACACTCTGGACAGCAGGAAGTGTTTGTGTTACTTCTTCTGTCTCTACAAATACACTCACGATGACTTTCCGCTTCCTGTCGCTCCCATGATGGCGTTCAGACCCGGCTTCATGATCCCACTGAGAACGAGAAAGGGGAAAGTTTTTATTATGTTTATGTATAAAACTAAATCCAACACACAAAAACCAGATGAATATTAGATGAAGATATTAGTAACTTAACATGACGCTGCAGTTTCAGTTCTGTGTCTGTGTGACTGTTGGTGAACTTACGTGTCAAATTTCTGAGGAACTGAAAGAGGTTTTTCCCAAACTGACGGTTCAGCTGTGTCGCAATAGTTCATTCATCTTTTTTGTGTTTTTGCTGACTCAAGGTTGGGAGTTCCTCTCTAGCTTTACTCAGCAAATTCACCAGCAACCATGACACTGCAATTTAACTTTGCCTCATTTAATGTTCATGATGGTTTTACTGTTCTAATGTTTACACTGGAAAACCTGACGGATATCTTAATAAAGTTGTTGATTAAATTCCAGTTTGTTCCATTGACTCATTTTCTGTATATCTCATGTTCTATATAATTACAAAATTGCTATAATTCTCAGGTAAAATCATCATTGCATCCATTTTTAGTGTTTAAAGTGTAAAGATTTGATGTTAGTGACACAGAAAACCAGCAGACTATTAAAATTTTTAGATTATCCACTTTGATTGATTTAATTTTAATTGTTTTTATTGTACGTCTGCTGTTTTAACAGGTAATGTAATAAGTGGTAACATTTTAAAGTGTGTTAAGTTAGTATTTTTTCTGCTTTAAATTTCTTGAGTTGATAAACTTAAACTGTTTAAGGCGGTCGACAGTGTATATATTTTACACTCTTTAGGAAGACACTTTTTATGTGTTTAATTTCTGATGCAAGACTTCCCCTCTCAGATCATTAGTCAGCAAGTCTCATAAAACATGACTGTGGTGTATTTTCACCACTGAAACTATGATGCAGCAGTTTTGTGTTCACTTTGTATTTGTAGAAACCACTTCCTTCCTTTTACTCATTTCATGTTTAATAATTCCTAATTCTGAGGAACTCACAGTCTTGATGCTGAGTTATAATAATATGCTGATAAGTTCCCCTTCCTCCTCATATTTAACCTACATTATCCAAAACTAATGTTTAATTTCCTGCCTCCTCGTGATAACAGTCTGCTGTAAAGTTGCTGTCTGGTATGACACTAAGTAACAGCTTCAGATATACTTAAAATATACTGTTATATAATAAATAAACCTTCAAAAAGCTACTAAAAGCTGAGTTAAAAGATAAAAACTGAGTCCAGAGAAGCTGCCGTGTTTCATCTCTCAAATCTTAAAGTTAAATTCTTCTATTTACAATTATAAATTAAGTTAAAAATAGAATTTTAATAAACTGTGGGTTGAAAAAACAAGCTGTCAGGACTACTAACTTACTAACTAACTAACGCAGTAAACGCTCCGAACTTGCTGCTCAGACTGAACCAACCTTCGACTTTGAGTGAGGCTGGTGAATGATTACACACACTGAACAATAAAATACCACAGATACCACCCTCTATAAACCCTACACACACTCTGCACTTTGACCGACTGCATTTTTCATAACATACACACATAATCACAGACTTTGGTCATTTTCATAACAGAAACATTATAAAATACTTTTAAAAAAGGTCTCCAAGAGTGAGTCAGATTGAACTATATGACCTTTTGGTGAGCTCTGATATGGAGGAAATCACGTCTTCCTTGAATAATCAGAAGTTTTTAGATTTGGAAGAGATGGACAAACATAAAAACAAATAATTCGTTTAAGGAATAAATCAAACACAAGTCTATGACCTCAATAACAAACTCTGAAGGCTGTAATAAAGAAAAATCAGTTGCAGAGTCTTAGTCAACCCAATTTTCATAAGTCGGATATAAAACGGATTGTTTCAGTACGGACCTTTTATCTCAACTGCTAATGAGCTGACACATTCAGGTTCATTAGTGCTTTTTATCCTTTAACAGGCAGCTATTAAATTATATTAAAATAGTTTTATAATTAATATAATTAATATTATCAACGTGCAACGACTAGTCGACTGGGAAAATCTGTCAAAAAGGCTGCATTAACTACAGTTTTCCTTTAACCGTTGGATTAGTTTTGCCATATATTGCTATTTTTCGTCCCAGCAGGGGTTCGACTTTCATGGAAACTAGAGTGGCTAAAAATCTGTCGGACCACTGTCATTCATGTCTCGATTCACTAAATATTAAATACATTGATGAGATATTTCCATCTGGACCAAAGCTTTACCTGATTTCTTCAGGTCAACATGTTTCTGTGAATGTAACACCCTGAACTTTCTCAGTAAGAGCGGTTGAAAGGTCTAGAGGCAGCTCAGCATCCTGCCGCTGCGACTGTTTGTTGGTTTAAGCTCAGAGTCATTGTTTGTGAGGGAAAGTGGGAACCTGAGTTTCTTGACAAAGCAAACTTCCTTCCTTTGCATCCAAATGTGTGTGTGTGTGTTTGATCCAGGAGCGCCTTGATGGTGTCACGTTTGCCTCCCAGGTTTGAGTCCCGTCGGCACGTAGACAAACAAACACACAATAACTGCACATAGTCAATAAATTTAATGGAATCAGCCGTACAGGGTTCCCACTCTTAATTAAAAGATCATTTTCCAGGATCTTTCCAGGCCTTTTTCCAGTTTTCTTCACAATATGGAACAACACTTCCTCACAACTGGTCGTATAATTTACAGATACACCAACTAGTTTACACTTCTTCCCAGTTTTATTTCTCCTTTTGTGCGTTCACAGGATACTCCGTTAGCTCATTTCCTGATTTTATTTTAATCAATTTCCAGATGTTTCCATGAAAACAAGTCTCTAAATATCCAGGTTTTCCAGGACCCGTGGGAAAACTGGCAGTATGGTTTTGTATGTGGTGCAGAGTAAATCCAACCTGACATACAACTACCTTATTGAATCTCATATTTCTGACATCTGGAGTCGTTCAGACTCTTTATTCTTCTGTTTTATTCGTTAATGTTTGACCGTCCACTTCCTATGTTACAAGGTTCATTATTAGACAGTAGGTCAGCTCAGTTTATGTGAATTATTGAGGTTAAGATAGCCTCTGCTCCACATCGTCAAACCATACTCCATTCAAAAAGCGGCTGTTTTAAGGAAGGTCCATATTTTTTCCAGTGCTTGTAGTCGTTCTGAGGACTTAGCTTAGTATATATATTATTGTTTATTGAAGCTTATTTTAAAAAAGGCTGTTTGGTGGTCGTAGTTTTAGACTCACTTGAGATCGATGAGGATATTTTTGGTCATACCCTTCTTCAGACACAGACAGCCTCGTCCCTGTGTCACTTTGTAGTGGATGTTGTGAAAGCTAACGGTGGCGCCCCGTTGCTGTTGGCCCGAACCTGCCGACTGGAAAACAGTTTATTCATCTTTTTAAAAAAAGTTACACGAACATATATTAGCATAAGTAGCATCAATAAGCAGGGAAGGAAGGTACCTGGTGTTTTGAGGCTCCATTCAGCCCGAACGCCTTTGTCCCTCGACTCTCCGACATCCTCTACCTCTCTCCTCCTGAAACACTGATTTGATGATGTAATTAACACCTAAATGCATAAATATTACATCCTTAAATTTCTTATGAATAAAGTTTGATCCCCCATAAAGTAAAAGCAAATTAGGTTTTTTAGTAGATGTTTAAGAGTTTAAAGTAATGCAGCCCAGAAGGGTTTGTATTGTTATGTAGGCTATTATCTCTATAACCTACAACTATACTTAACTATTACTTAATAATAGTCTTAAATTAACTGTAATTTGGTTACTAGCAAGTCAACAGTGAGTATTGACTATGAAAAGCCTCTTAAAAATAACAAAGAGCTATAAAAGCTTCAATAAGAGTAACGGGAACCACACGAAACCTGCTATTGGAGCTAGCATTCAGATAATCTAGCTAGCAAATCATGTTTCTTTTAAAAGACTTTTTGGCAAAAACTAATTAGTACATCGCAAAAATAGTTTGAAGGGTTGTATATCGCTTTTCCAAAACCAAAAAAAGCAAGCACAAATTGGATTAAACTGCATGTTTGTCTGTTTAAACATAACCTTCTAAAGTTAGCATACCTACATTATTTTGAGGGTCTTTGTTAGAAAAACACAAACACATCCAGTATGTGCTAGCTGGTCCTGGATGCTATTTCAGAGTTTAAGCATCTTTTTTAGATTTGTGGAAGTATAATATTTCAGCAACTTGTTGTTGTTCGAGATGGCGTTGGAGAGTTGTAACAAATGGATTACACGACATGTTTGTTTCTTTAAACATAACCTGCTAACGTTAGGATACCCAGATAACAAGCTTATACCTAAAGAAAACACGGTTTACAAAGCCAAGTAGTTTAATATTAGCTAACTACTTTTGTAAGAAAAATACAAACACATCGATTTGCGGACGTTTACTTCAGCCAAACTTGTTGTCCACGTTCAGATAGCATTTCCAACAACAATCGGCCGTTGTTGTTGGCAACATTGTTGGATGACAAAATATAAACAGAGCAAAAGAAGTCAAAGATTTTGCTGACCCAACAATAGCAATGAGTCCTAAAATCAGGAAATGAGTAAGCATTTTTGCACTTCCAGTTCCTTCTCCTCGAAGCCAATGAGCTTTTGGTGAGATTCCTAAAATAAGGTCTGTAGTTGATACAAGCTTAACACATATAATATTAATATATATAATCAGTAAATACCCCAACCTGTGAATTTTGAAGCTTTTATTAAAAAAGGCAGTTGCTAACAATTGGTTAAATGACGCTACACAGGTTGTTGGTGACATTAAAACATGGAAACTTATCTAGTCATTAGTCCGCCTTTACAGCTTCGTTGTGTTTGTGCTCGTGCTCCTGCAAACTATTCTAACTCAAACTTTACAACATGAAAATTTAATTACAGGTTGGAAGTTTATTGGTGTTTACGCTAAAGTCATGCAACCGTTTGGTGTAGTAGTCTACCGTTAGCTTTTTACTCCTGTTTGCATTTACGCTTCAACCATCAAACCATCGTTTGTGTTGTGAAAATTTTGATAATTATTAAGATATCTGTCAGTTCAATCTAGTAAATGAAAGGTAAATATCTGTGAAGAATTGTATCAATAAAAAGAAGCTTGTATAAAAGTTTGAAACGTTGAATAAATATTGTTTATCTGTGTATAAGCATTGGTAAACTGTCAAAATACCGTTTTAATCACACAAAACATCAATAATTACTGTAATTTCACAGATAATGACTTTTATTACAGTTCTAGAACTTTTAAAATTCTGATAAAAATAAGAAATCAAATAATAACAGCACTCAAATTTTAAACCTGATTATTCGTATTATAGCAGTGTTTGCCTGTATTTAGAGTTCATTGCATTGGTTTTACAGTGTAAATATTTTTTTATTTAAACATTAAAAAGCCAAAAAAAAATGTAAAATAAAGGTTTTACGAGTCAGTTATTTTCTATTATTTTGGCAGAATATTAATTTTTATTTTTCTATATTTTTCTATTTTATGTTTTAAGATTGTTTTTTTCAATGTAAAATGTTAATCTGACAAATTTAACCAGCAGCTACAGAGGTCAGATAAAGGCAGTGGAGTAAAAAATACAAAGCACCACGAACTGGAAAAGCTTACGTAAAGTAAAAAAATACCTCAAACTGTATAACAGTAAATATACTTAGTGGTGACATCTGGCCTTTCACCACCTCATGAATCTCTCTGACTAACACAGAAGCAGCTAAACTTAAGTTTTAACAACTTATTTCAAGTTCAACAAACAAAACCAAGTGTGCAGACCTCACATTTACCTTTGTACAAAGATTCAAATGAGGACAAGAGCACATTTTAGAGTTCATCGCTCACCTGCTGAAGCCAGACAAAATCCCTGTGAGTTATGGCTGCTGACGGACATCCAAACCACAGGACGCTGACTGACTGCAGAGATCGATCCGTGTGTGTGTGTGAGAGCAGTGTGTTCAGTGTGTTTTAAAGCCCTGTTTTATGACTGAAGGCTATGATAAGAGAAGTAGGGAGAAGGGCAGAACGGGAGTGTGTCACTCTGACTCCTACAGGGGTGGGAAGAAGCACTGAAATACAGATGTTAGAAGAACCTCCCCTTTAAGGAGGTATGAAACAGTCTGAATGTAATACTGAAGCCTCTATATGACCTAAACAGTGAGAACATATATAGTTATTATTAACGTTGAATTCAGTCGGATTCCCCTTGAAATCAATGAAACGAGGCGGTGGAAACACTACAGCTGTTCAATTCAATTTTATTTGTATAGCGCCAATTCATAACAGAAGTTATCTCAGGATACTTTTCAAATTGAGCAGGTCTAGACCGAACTCCTTGTTGTCCACAGGGGCTGCCAGAATCAATACTAAATTAAAGTTACTTGTAGGAGTCTGGCGGCAAACCTTTGTGCAAATGAAGCCAAAAAAGAGGTAACAAAAACAACCTGTAGTTCCTCTATCGGCCACTAGCTCCAGCAGTGAGTCAACCTCCATAAGCCCCATATTAAAGGGAACTTGGCACTTTTTCAGCTTAATAAACCCGTTTAAAATCATTTGTAGTAGTTTGGTTTTTCTTTGGTAGTATCGCGAGAAGCGGAACGAGCGAGAAAGACGAACGGCTTTACGGCAATTCCACATAAACGCACACGCCGCCCTCAATAACGTTATGGTATAATGTATTACCCACCTCGGTAATATTGCTCCACACGAAAAAGTTGCCCGCCGAAAAAAGGCACATCAGCAGCGGTAAAAGATAGAAAGGGGGAGGAGGGTGCCGCAAGTGAGTTTTTTTTACGACGTGTTGTGAAATACACGTCCCAGAGCTGTAGGGGGAGCTCGTTGAGAAAACATGCGATGACAAAAGTGAAAACCAGCGAAGAAATGGCTAGAGTTGCCAAGTTACCCTTCAAAACATGTGCAGTGACTTGATTTAAGTGGGGAAGGTAATGATTTGGGACTCACTGGTCAGCCAGGCTAGCAGCACTAATTCTCTACTTGCCTTGCTGGAAAAAGATCTCCTTATATTGTTATTTTATTGAAACTACAGTCACCTTCTTGTTATCCGGGTGGAAAGGGGCTCTATGATTGACTTTTTTCATAATTGAAAGACAAATTGAACCATATTGCTGGCTTGTTTCTTCTTACAGAGTTGTTTATTTTCCTTTGGACTATAGGCTCAGCATGAGTTTATTCATTAGCTTTGCAGGCAGTGAAACTGTGCAGCGCTTCTCGGTCCTTATTGACGGGACTCAGAGCCTGCTGGTTCTTATTCTATCCATCTAATCAGGGACTGAGTTACACCTGCAATGCCAGGTGAGTGCAATTAACTCGCTGGTTGGAAAAACCAGCAGCACTGAGAGCCCAGAGGACTTGGATTGAGAACCACTCTTGTTGAGAAATGCTGACACCAATAACAAATTATGTTTTGAAGGACAAATGTGGAGATGCATTTCTCCCCCAAGCAAAAGCCTCAAGTTATTTTAGTACACAGAAGTTCATCCAATTAGATATAAACCTTTATCAAGTCTTAGGAGATCCGTATCCCACACACACAACAGTGCAAATGAAGAAATGTTCTGACCTCAACTGTTAATAAATGCAGTCATGAGGTGTTTTTTAGTACTGTGTGAAAGGTAGTGCAGAGCTCAATCTCTATGATCACAAAGGTGGGTTTTACACTGATTAGAAGAAGAGAAATAGTGATATCTCTGTTGCAAACAAAGCACTACCGATGTAACCTTGAATTCAGTATAGGTCAATGTTGCATTTTCTGTTAGTTGTTACGTTGACTGCAACTAACAATTGATTCATCTGTTGATTATTTATTCAATTAAAAAAAGTCTTAAATGATCACAAGTTCTAAGAGTCCAAATAAGGGCTTCAAATGAGTTGTTCTGTTTGACCAATAGTCCAAACATTTATATTTACAATTATATATTATTATATATGTTTGTTATTTTTGACTTGAATAATTATTTACACAGAGTGGATGTATTGAGAACCAAAACTACTAATGTTAAGGTTGCAACTAATATTTTCTTTTATTTATTGACTGCTCTGTTGATTATTTACATACAATCTGTGAATTAATGCAGATCACAAGTTCTCAGAGCCCATATGACGTCTTCTAATGCCTTGTTTCATTGGACCCACAGATTTTGAATTTAAACTAATGTAAAGCAAGATCTGAGATGCTGGGACCAGAGAATATTATACAGCCATACTGCCATATTACTTGATTACTTGTTCCACCTCTACTTGAGATGTTTTTAGGGATGTTTCTTTCATAAACATTTCTTCTTTCTTGTCTCTTTCAGCCAACAAGACTCTGCTTGGCGGAGGTGGAGGTAAGCCACAACCTGTCTGATCCATTGGTTTTGTGTATTTGTTTGCTTGCCAAGCTACGTGTTGTTATAAATAGTGCAGCTTTGTGGTGCAAATGGTCCACTCTGGACAACAAATAATGAAATTTTTTTGTTCTTTTAATCAGATGATAGAGTGCAGCAATGTACTAGCTGCAGAGTGTGTCTGTGTGTGAGTGCTTTATGTCATATGGGTGGTGTGTCTGGATGTGTCTTTGTGTTTGGTAGCAGGTAGCTCTTTGTTGTGGCAGGTGTTCACGGTGCGTTTGCATGCTGCACTGTGTGTGTCTGTCTGCCCATGTTTCTGTGTGTGTGTGTGCGCCCAGCTGCAAAGTCGATAGTTCATAATTTATGGGTGTGAAGTGCTGTGGATATAAACAGTCATTTTTCAGTGTATTGTTGACTCAGTATTTTGCCTCGTGCGTGTGATGTTGGACGTCCATGCTCAATCGATACTTGTAATAAATCTGTACAACTAATGCGGCAGCAGCATTCACTAAAACATGTACGCACACACTCCATTTAACCTGTGTGTGTGTGT